ATAATATTATGATAACAAGCATTGCTAACATTTATTGGGTGCTTATTTTGTTCCAGGGACTATTCTAAAGGCTTTATAAGACTACTTTACTTTATCCTTGTAACAACCCTATTATACTAATAAAGATTGAGTAACTTGTCTGAGGCCACCCAGACAGCGAGTGGCAGAGCCAGGATTTGAATGCAGGTAGTCTCATTCTAGATCCCTTTACATTATACTATAGGTGGAATGAGGCAGAAATTAAAGTTGGAAATTTCACAACAATAGCTTTCCTTTTCTTTGCAATTTTGGAGGCAAGATCATCATCAAAACAAGCTTGGGGTAGAGAAAGAGGTGAGATGGTGAGGTTTTGGCATAGCCACTTAGGGGAATGTGAAAGGAAGCTCCCCAGAGAACTGCCATGTGGTGCTCAGGGGCTAACTGTGGGAGGACATCACAGTATTTGTAGAGACACCAATTGATGAATGGTCTCTCCCTTCCATCCCTTGTGACCAGTTCTCAGCAGGCTGAATGGGAGGCATTCAAGTAAAGGCAATTATTTGTATTACAACGTTGAGGATCCTCTGACAGAGGGTAAACAGAGAGAACTAAAGTAGCAAAAAAGAAAAGTCCCTTACCCAGAAAAGTGTGATGAAGGGGTAGGAGTTAAACAGGGAAGGGTACGACCTTGAGACTGGGTTGCTAGAGTAAGGGGGAGATAAAGATGAACAGAACTAATGAGGTCAAGGAAAACAGAGGGCAAAGGGATTAGTTGGCTTTGTGCTGTAGTGTATCAAAGAACAAATATTTATTTAGAGTCAACATATAAACAAAACTGTGACAGGTAAGATAAAATTTAAAAAATAGAAACAATGCCTACCTGGTTTTTCTCCCCAACTAAGCACAGCTCCCTAAAGGGTAGAGAACATGCTCTTGATATAGATATACTTACCACAGTGCTTTGCTCAATAAACATTGGTTGAATGAAGATCATATCTCTTACATCAAGAAAAGTCCCGTATCAGAGGTTATGACCTGGTATCTTGTGGACTGAATCAGGCTCACCAGAAGTGGTTTATTTGCTCTGGACAATGCTTAGAAAGAATCTGAGCCAACACTTTAAAATCAAGAGATTTCATACAAAAATCCAAGTTTCTAGTTTCCCTTAAAAAAGAACTAGACAATGTGCCCATATACCCATATAGCAAAAATAATCAGCCGTTGTATAGCGCTACCTCTTAAGACAGCTTACATGCCGGCCCTAGAAACATCTTTTGGTTTCTATCTTGAAATCTGGGCCAATCTAAAATGCCAGATTCTCCATTAGCCTTCCATGAATTACCATTTGAAATTACCTTCCCCTGTTTTGCACTTGCAAAATATTTTGTCCTTCTCTTAAGTAACTTAGTCTTCTCCTCTCCCCCACTGTCTGATATACATTTATACTGCCTAAGCTTCTGTCTTAGAATGATTTATTCATGTTTGCATCTTTCAGAGTCTGGGCTTTGTTACTATATAGTTTCTGAGTAAATGCTTTATCTCTTAGAGAAATACTCCTTGACTTCTGTTGCAGACAGAAAAATTCAGTTCAAGAGCCATTAGTGATTGGGGATTTAATTTCAGAAGTGTTAAACCAGTTTAGAGATTACTGTCACCATCTGTATTTGACCTGAAAATAATACACTCAGTGCCTGAAGAATCTTCAGAATACTAGAAAATAGTCTATGAAACATAAATCAAGGAGCCAGCCTGTGGCTCACTTGGGAGAGTGTGGTGCTGACAACACCAAGTCAAGGGTTAAGATCCCCTTACCGGTCATCTTTAAAAAAAAAAAAAAAAGAAAAAGAAACCTAAATCAATTGGGAAAGTTAAAGCAAAGGATGATAAACGGCTATAGAGGGAGGCAAGTAACATAATATGGGTTCAGAAGACGATGACTATCAAAGAACAAACGATAAATACACAGGTTTCTAGAGGGAAGATTTTGGAGAAAGTCTTCCAAATCTTTACCTCCAAGTCAGTGCTCTCTCTCTTGAGCTTGAGAGCCATAAATACAACTATTGTTTATAGTACTGCACACTGAGCATGTACCTCAAACTCAACATGTCCACAGTAGGCTCATCATAAACTGCTTCTTTGTCCTGTGTTCTCTTTCTGGTAGACCGCCAGGCTTCAATCACGTAGAAATCTAGAATTCATTCTTGGTTCCTTCTCTCACTACACACATCTAGTCCATAGTCAAATTCTCCTAATTTTACTGCCTAAATCCCTCACTGCGGCCACGGGCATCTCTTGCCTGGATTACCGGCACAGCATCCTAGTTTGTCTCCAAGCCTCTAGTCTCCAACTCTAGCAAGCACCCCCTATATGCTGTTTCTTCAGTCATCTTTCTATCTCATTGCCCTTAGTATTTTGAAAGTTGCAGACAAAATCACTCTTGTGAGGCGCAAACAAATTGGAGCCAGGAAAGCACTGAAGAAGGAGACTTCATGCTTGCATGTCTAAGATAAGGGCTGTGTCAAGGACTTTCTAAAATAACCCCATAAGAATTTCCTTCTTTAGGACTGCAGCAATTCAGATAAGATGCTCTCAAAAGAATACGTGCCCAGTTATGGCATCTCTACCAATAAACTGAGGCCAGCTCTGGCTTTGAGCCTCTAGAACCAATGAACTCTGTTGCCAAGCAGCATACATGAACTCCTTTTTGCCAAAAAATGCTTCCCTTTACCCTCCCCTCTTGGGATGCGCCTGTGGTTTCTCATAGCTGTGCTTCCCAGATCATAATCCTTTCTGCTTACTCCTAAATAAAATCATTATGTTAAAAGATATTTTTCCCTGATGTCTTTTTTTATTTTTATTTTTATTTATTTATTTTTATTTTTATTTTTTCCTTTTTGTCTTTTTCCATGTCCGGCAACAGATCGCAACCCTCAGTGTCGCGCCTGTACCGGACCGGGACCAGCAACGGGATCGCAACCCTCGGTGTTGCTCCCGCACCTCGCTCAGCCAGTGAGCGGGAACCGGTCTGTATGTGGGATCCAAACCCTCGGCGGGAGCGCCACCGCGCTCCCAAGCAGCGCACTGTAGCAGTGCGCCACCGGGCCGGCCCCTGTGATGTCTTTTTTTAGGTATAAAAATCTATATTTCAAAGATCGGCTTATAAAGTCCTCTAGGTCTGGTCCTAGCTTCCTCTTTAGCCTCATTTCTTCCTAAGTTTCTGCTCCCTATTTTATGTTCCAATAACACCAAACATCTCTTGATATGATAACACATCATGCCCTTGTCTCTAAGACTCTGTACATGCTATTTCTTCTACATGGAAAATCCTTACCTTCATTTCATATGGTATGTCTTCCCGATCCTTTAGGCCTCAATTGAAACCTTCATTTCCTCCTCAGGAATCCTCTAACCCATTCAAGTCTGTGCTCCTACGGTTCCCTGAACTTTCCCATCATAGTACTATGTCATATTGTCCTTGTCTCTTTACTTATTTGTATCTTCCACTATACAGCATGCTCTATGGCAGAAGGAATGAGATGTAGCTTGCACTATATTAAATCCACGTCTGGCACATATTAGGTACTCACTCAATATTTGCTGAATTAACTACTTACAATTGAACAATCCCCTTCCTTAAGGCTAAAGAGACTGTCTCTCAATTGTCCACAACTCCCCTAAAACCACAATGAAATTTTATGATTTCTTAAAACTTTTCTTATTGCTGTCTTATTTATTTGTGTAAAACCAGGCAAACACAAATATATACAGGGGATAATGTATTTATGTGCATATGCAAATCTAGAATGAGTAGTGGAAGCTGCAGTAACCTGATCTCACAAGCTCTGGATAAAGAAGGTGCTCACTGGTCAGCTCAATCCAGATCCAATGAAAGAATGAGGGCACAGTGCCACCAGATATTCTGAAGTATTAAGAGAAGTCGAAATTGTTCTGAATTTTGAAATGTTGGCTCAAACTTTTCATGAACATTGATTGAGTGCAGCAAACAAAACATCCCTGTCCATCAAGTTGTCTGCAGGCCATGTTTGGTTTGAGAACCCTAATTTATTCTCAGGTTCCGTAATTAAGGCTCTCTTTGATGCTCATTTAGAAGACATTTCACCAAGATATAATTACGGAGGGCATGAACACATGTGCTATTGAAACATCTTAGCAATACTTCTAACAGGTGGCTTTCACTTTCCTCATTCTGCATACACACCTGTCTAGGAACGATCTCCAATTATCTGTCCTGTATCCAAGATCTTCTCCCTCCCCATTCAATTTTTCCTATTGAGCATTCTATCCTCAGAGTCGTCTTTACTAATTTTGGGAAGGTCACTTATTCAAACGAGAGAATGGTTGACAAATGTTTAGCAATAAAATCTATTGGGACCTTCAGCCCTAAGTAAGAACAACGGGAGATACAAGGGAGCGAATTTTAGGGGACTTGCCTTGCCTTCTTAGCAGGGCTTATCACACTGTATACTGTTTATTCACCTAGTTGTCCTCTAGACCCTAGGCCATTTGTCTTATTCACCATTATATCTCTGAGCACGTAGGTGTTCCATAAAATTGTTGGTGTGTATAAGTGAATGAGAAATATATGCAACCTGAGGGTGGATTTCCTGTAGACTTCCGCTTACGTAAGAATCGTTTCCACGATGGTCGCGTAATCAATCTAAACTGAGGTAGGCGAGGAGCAACTGCTCATAGGAAAAGTGCTGGCCACCGAGGTACAGCTCCGGTTCGGCAAACTTCCCCGGAGCTCCTATCGCGTGCCAAGTGTCCAGCTCGTCGCCAGGGCGCAGAAAATAAGCTGGAGGGCTCAACTCCATTCCGGTGCTTCACTGCTCCTTCTTTGGCCTGTGTTCCTAACCAACACCCACTTAAGTCGCCCATCCTCCCTCCCCACTCCTTAATTTGTCCTTTCTCAAGGTTCGGAGCGCCCACACCTGAGTCACAGATGCGGCGGGCCACAGCCTCACTTCCACCTACGCACTCCGCGGTGCGCGGGGGTCGCACGCAGTTCCCGCCGCCGCGCCCCGCCAGCGCCTAGTTTCCTAGGAATACAGGCACCGGCGGCCCCGCCCCTACCTGCGCGCCGCATCGCCCGGAGCAACAGTCTCCCTCGGGAGCGTGGCAGGCAGACATGTCCCAGGCAAGGAAGACCCGCTACTTCCAATCTAACCTCGGCTTTGCGCCCGCAGCTTCGCCTGGGCTAATACGGCGAGGCCGCAAGTGCAGTCAGGCGGCGCTGAGGGCAGCCCAGGAGCGGGGCGGAAGGCGGGGTCTGGGAGGGCCTCGCTGGCGGGGAGATCCAGGGGCGCCGTCGCCTGACCTGGAGGCGTGGCCAACGAGGTTGGAGGCGGGGCTAGGAGGCCTTCACACCAAGACCTAAAGGCGCGGCTGGCGTTCGGGGGGCGTGGCCAGTCAACGGGAGGCGCGGCCCTGGGGGGCCTTGAGACTCGGCGATCAGGCTGTCCTGCGGGCAGCCTGTGAAAAGGCCGGGAAGATGGCGGCCTCCTGGAGGCTAGCCTGTGACCCGCGGCTGCTACGCTACCTCCTGGGCTTCGCTGGCCACCGAAGCCTGGGACTGGTTAAGACGGCGTCTGTGTGGTCTGTCGGCCGCGGATCTAGTTGGAGATGGTTTCACAGCACGCATTTGCTGCGGGGTGAGTGGCCGGGGCTCGCTCAGCTTCTCTGCGTGCCTGGGTCAGGGACATGTTTGGTTGAGGGCCTGCGTTTGAGTGTGAAGGTGCCCGGGCTTCCTGTTCCCTTCCGCTTTTATCGGGGAGTGGTCCGCTGACTTGGCCTAATATATGTCGCAAAAGGAGCTGGGAGAACTTGACTCCGTCCCTGGTCCCCTGGTTTGTATGGCTTCTCTGTGACCTTGCCTTGGAATTTGGGGGATTTGTGAGGCGCGGAGATGGTTCCTAAACCCTCTTCTCGCAGGCCCCTTCTCAGTAACGACTCAGATTTCTTTCGTCAAGCATCTCGGGCGGGGAAAAGCTGCCCAAGTTCACTGAGGTTCGGAATTCCCTGTTAGCTGTTCTTATTCATTCTCTAGGCCCGTTTCTGTAGGGAGATCTTCGAGGCCAGTCCTGGTTGCACCACGCGATGACTCGTAAAAGACTTAATTTGTAAATACCTAAAGCATCACAGACATAAGTCAGGGAGAATGTTTCAAACAAAACATTCGCTTGAGAGAGTGAAAATTTAGGAGGGGAATCAAACCAAGAAGTTTATTATAGAAAATGGGCTTTCAGTGGTGTTAGTGACACAACTAGCACAATTCTTCCAGTATTTACAGTAATAAAATGGCATGCTGGACATTATTTTCTCTTACTTGGGGCGGGGGTTGGGGGAGGAGAGGCGGAGAATAGGACTAACATTTTTTAGTGTGACGTGCTACCTGCCAATCGTCATTACTGGCAGTCGACAGAATGAATTTTAATCTGAAAAATAAAGTGCAGTAGACATTACTTTCATATTCTGAGCCACACATAGTCCTGCATCAAAATGAGTGCATTGAGATTTCTAAAGATTCAGTGATGGGAACAATTTATTTCAGTTTCTCCAGTGTAATATTCCCTAAAATATCTCTTGGAGCAGTGATTTAACTGTGTGCACAGAATTCTCTCTCTTCCCTCCTCCCAGTTTGTTAAAATTAAACTTTCCTATAGCTTCTAAAGATTCTGTCTGGCGTGAGGCTGAGGAATCTGCATTTTACAAAAAAACATTAGAAGAGTTTTGATGTTTTATTTTAATGTTTGATGGACTACAGTCTCACTGCCTTAGAAAATTATGTAGTGTTAGGGCCGGCCCGGTGGCGCACTGGATAGTGCGCCGCTTGGGAAGCATGGCGGCGCTCCCGCCCGAGGGTTTGGATCCCACATACAGACCGGTTCCTGCTCACTGGCTGAGCGAGGCACGGGAGCAACACCGAGGGTTGCGATCCCGTTGCCGGTCCCCGGTCCGGTACGGGGGCAACACTGAGGGTTGCGATCCGTTGCTGGACACGGAAAAAGACAAAAAAAAAAAAAAAAAAAAAAGAAAAAAGAAAATTATGTAGTGTTAGAAGCTTAGTATTGGAAATAACCTAGGAAGAGTGTTCTTAAGCTAGTTTGCAAAACAGATTCTTTTGAGAACCTTTGAAAATGCTCTATACAGAGAAAGGGGGCATAAGGGGTTGCACACAAAAAATATGCATGCAGTTTCAAGAGTTTTCCTTAGACCCAGTTTAATGACTCCTGACTTTAGAAAGTCACTTAGGCACTCCCTGTCTTTATCGTCATGACATTTTACCTACTCCGCATTCACCCAGACACACGCCACGAACAATTTGCCTAATTATGTTTGAACGTCATTTGTAAGGGAGAAGGTACTGCATCCCAAGGCAAGCTGAATTAGTTTCCTAGTGCTGCTGCAACAAATTACGATAAATTAGTGGCTTAAAACAACACAAATTTATTATTTTATAGTCCTGGAGGTCAGAAATCCAAAAATGGATCTCATAAGCTAAAGTCAAGGTATCAGCAGGAATTGTGCTCTTTTCTGGAAGACTTAGGGGAGAATCTGTTTCCTTGCCTTATCCAGCTTCTAAAGGCGCGTCTCAGGTTCCTTGGCTTCTGGCTTGCCTCTGTCTTCAAAATTGGCAGTGGCTGGTCCAGTCTTTATCATATTACATCTCTTCTGACACACTCTCCTGCCTTCCTTCCACTTGTAAGGACCCTTGTGATTATATTGGGCCCACCTGGATAATCCAGGATATTCTCCCCATCTCAAGGTCACCTGATTAGCACCCTTAATTCCATCTCCAACTTTAATTCTCTCTTGCCATGTAACATAACATGTTCATAGGTTGTGAGTATTAGGATGTGGGCTTATGTGGTGGAGAAGGAAGGGCATTATTCTGCATGGTGAAGCTGTGTTGTTGGGTAGCTCTAAGATACTTGGAAATTTTGGACTTTTTCCCTAATACTAAGACAAGATTTATATTCTCCTGACTTTCACCTACAGATTTTTGTTTTGCCATGCTGAATAAACATGGCAATCTTTGAACTATTTGTTTTTTACAAAGCATGAGTTTACAGTGGTGTTTGTTCTTTATATATGGCCAGTTTTTCTCTGAGCTTGGTAGAAACTGTAGTTTCTTAAATCTAAGCAACTATTTGGATTACTGTAGACCATGTGAATTAAATATATTTATTGAATTATTTCCTCTTTCACACCTCTATCCGGGATTTAAAAATCTGTCAGTTGGAAGTACCCTTGGAGTTTTGTTTTCCTTCAGAGGTGTTGGCAGCATTTCTGTGAGCTATGACATATGCCATGTGTTTAGCACTTCCTAGAATTCCATAATCACTTTTCACAACCTGGTAAAGTTGCTGTCATCTGCATTTAATTGGACAGAAGTACCAAGTCTCAGAGAAATTGAGTGGGTCTTGCAAAGGCACACAGCTATGATGTTAATGAACTGAAGAGCATATATGTATGTATGTTTATCTTTAACAAATTTCTAATTTGTTTCATTCTTTCAACTAAGGTGTTAATTGAGAAGGCAGAAATTATATTATTCATCACAGATATTGAAGAATGAGTGAAGAAGTTAGCACCTAAGAGGTGACAGCCATGTGGTAGCCTGCATGGAAAGTTGGCCTACTGAACAGAACAGATTCCCAGTACTGCTGCATGGCACATTTAATCATATTTAGCTTATGGACCTGCAATTCGAAATTCTGTTTAGGCCTTATCCTTAAGGTATTTATAGTCGGCTTGGGGAAATAAACAATAAAGGCGGTTAGTGTGTGCAGTAAGCTCTGAGGAGTAATTTCAGGATGATAAGGAAGTGGAATATAAGAAGGCTTCCTAGAAGAACAGGTGGCAGCCCTTCTAGGCTGAAGGAACAGCAGAAACAAAGGCCCAGAGACCAGATGTGATATTTACATAACTGATACCGTCTTTGTAAACAGTTTTTCAACCTACCCTAGGCAATTAACTTTGAAGGGTTTATATTGCTGTCCTTTCAGAGTAGGTGGCCTGGTCTGAAATTTACTTAGTAATTTCAGGTATTAATTAACATTGGTTTTAAGCTGTCTCCAAAGAATAACATGTTGAGTTTAAAATAACATGTGAATAGAAAAAATAAATGAGGTTCAACCTTGGCAATGATTTCCCTAATCTATAATTATAGGCCTTGCATACTATAAATGTTAAACATTTAGAGAAGCTAGAGATCTGGAGAGTTATAGAAGGACACTAACTGCTGTAGGATTAAGTTGGCAGCCAGTGAACTGACCCGCGTTGTTTCAGAAGAAAATTAAATAGGAGACTTTACATAAAAAGCAAATTTTTGTCTTCTCTTGAAAATTTAAAGTTAGACCTTTATATTAGCAGTTGCCTGATACTGAGTAATAGTTATTCTTTTTAGGTAGGTAATTACTTCCCCTCTACTCTCCATTCCCTCTTCGTCAGCAAGGCTGAATGTCCCTTGGTATTTGCCATCACTTCTAGTTATAATTCTTTTCTTGTACCCTTATCTCTATGGAAGGCAGAAGACAAAGATAGACCAAGAAAAGTGGGAGAGAACAGATGTGTGTGTGTGTGTGAAGGAGGAAAATTCTTAGCCGTTTAATATAAAAATAAAATATGTCTGAATCTAAAGAAAATACCTTATGATGCTAGCTCACTTCTCTTACCTGCCTGTGTTCTGTTGTCATCTGAGTTTTTGAGAGCAGTTTTATAACAAGGAGCCAACTTCTTTGATAATAGTTGATGGTACAGTGTTTCTGCCAAAACATGGATACGCTTTTAGGCCTGGTTCTCAAGTGCTTCAACACTGATACTGATGAAATTGATACTCTTTTTTGAATTCTCATTTAACTGTGGAAACAGAAACACATAGAATAGCTGAGGTGAAAACAGGATTTATTAAGATAAACCACCACATATATGAAGTGCTGCTGGGTCACAGGGGAACCATAATGATTTCATCTATTTCTTCTAGGGCTCCTAGAAGAAATATTATTTGTCTGCCTCTTCCTCTGTTTTATTTTGTTTCTCTTTGCAGACTTGTTAATCTGTTCACTCGTGGCTTTTTTTCCTCTATAATGTCTGCTTTCCTTGTCTTAATGCTGATTCAGGCCTTAATGAACTGCTTTTTCAGCGTAGTTCAAGTGCCCACTATCATTTCTGTGATCTATTTCAAAATTCCCTGCATGGAGAGGAAGCTGATTGACCCAGTGTAGGTCATTTGTGGTATAGGGCACGCAAGGCCAATTCTTTCAAAAGCTGTGATTTGTACGTTTTCTTTAAGAAGGAAGTATGAGTCAGGAATCAGTGATTGATATGTCTGTTGACAACCTGTTTAAAATAGGACATTAGTGCAGTAGTCCTTTATTTTAATTGTTCCTAGGCTAAGTAATGACTGAGCAAAATGTATCATAACATAAGCAAAGCAGATCTAGGCTACTCAGTAGTTGAGATGTGTGGACATGCAAGGAAAATGGGAAGTGGGCAAATGAGATCTTAGTAAATGCAGCAGCATGAGGAACTAAGAAGATCTGAATTATCAGGAAATACTTTGTACACATTTACTTTGCTTTACAACGTTTCATTCTGTATATGAAAGTTATGGCCCATTAGAAGTAGCCATACTGAGCACTCACTATTT